TTTATCTTGGATAGATCTCGTAATGCCCAGGCTAAATGTAGAGAACGCCAAAGAGAAACCGATTCTTCCATAAAAGTATGGCTTTGCAGGGACGACCAAAGCAATCAAATGAGAAGGTGAGTGCAAGAGACCAAGTAGCAAGGTGACGTTGCTGGAGGTGGGAAAAATGCCAAGGAATTCCGGACTCGAAAGTGACCTTGCAAGGTAACTCCTCTATGGCGCTCTCCTCGCCTACCATCATAATTCTCCTCGTTTCCAGCTTTCCAATGATACCTCATTCATCCCAATTGGTCCAGTAGTTCATGAGATATTCATTGACAGGTGCTGTCGAGAGCACATGAGGTTCAACACCATGTCGAACCATCCATATACTAAGGCTCTGTTCGGTAGAAAGAAACCTGTTTCTTTTTGTGTCTTCATTCAAAAGGTGACTGATTCTTTCTTGTTTCTTCTGCCACTTTTGTCAAGAAACGAGAAGAAACTGACGAGTGTTCGGCATGCCGGTTTCGTTGTCATTTCTTGCTACAGCTTTTTTCTTATAAACCTCACACATGTAAATTAAGCGTGAATTATTGTTGCAAGTATGGATGCTGATCTTGGCAACACCCATCCCTCGATAACAAATGACGATGTACACCCTGGGCCAAGGGGGAATCCACAAACCCACCTTCCAAGCGTGCTGTTTGGAAATCGCATGAGGAAGTGGAGCTCGTCCACTCCCTTCTTGAAGTTAAGCGTGCAGGTGGCACCTTGAATATCGGGTTCAAAGACAAGGTTTGGAACTCAGTTTCTGCACACTTAACTGAGGAATGCGGGACTGTGTTCAAGCCGAGTGCTTGTAAGAATAAGTATGGCAAGGTGAGTATGAGATGAGTGACTGATCAGACCACTGACTATATCTCCGCCATAGTTAAAACAGATATACTGGGCCATCAAAAGACTTTCAGAGCAGTCAGGATTTCCGTGGAGCAATGAGAATGGTGCCGATAGAGCGATAAGTTTTTGTTGATACTAGATGCAATGTTTATTGTATATGATGGCATTTTAAAAAATAACGGTATAGGTACATATGGGATGCCCCGAAACAAGCAGTTTCTTTCTTTCTACCGAACAGAGCCTAAGGACGTTCCATTTGGGACGATACTCCCCAGATTAGGAGGGTGGGTTGACATCACCAGTGTCTAGAGAGTGAACAGGTTTCAATGGTATTTGAGGGGATGAATTGTGAGAATCTAGCACGTTGCAAGTGCTCAGTTCTGAACAAGCCAACTAAAATGAATTGCTTATCTACCTAGCACGTTGTAAGTGCTAGGATATTTACAAGGTTTTTAGTCATCGACCAAGTCAGCGAAGACAAGAAAGCTCACCTCAGTTCTGAACAAGCGAACTGAGGGAGAGACAAGGGCGAAAAATTAAGGCTTTTAAGCCTTCTATGATGCGGCTGGAAAAGAGTGATCAAGAAAGGAATGACGGACAATCATGTAGATCATGTGTCTGTTGTAGGAGAAATAACGGCCACACTATGGAAACCCATTATGGAAATATGCCAGATAAATCACACAACCTCATATGACAAGTAGATATGAGAAAATAGAAGGACTTGAATTTTAACGAATTTTATGAATTTGTACGAATTATTATGACTACACATGATAAATCGAAAGAAAGAAAAATAGCAAAAATACTTCAAGCTTACCATCAACGAGACGGAATTCTCGGGGGAATTTATAGCAAATATTAAACCAAGAATTAGGACAATTGACCAAGATTTGACTATAAAAACAATCAGAGAACCTCCACGGAAACTACTTTCCCACGTCCGCTGTAACGGGGATTTGCTGGTGTACCATAAACAAGCCAAATCCCGCGATTCTACCACCCTTAGCCAATGTTCCCTCCTACATATTTCTTATTTTTCCTGATTTTTCTGACTCCATTTCCACCTGATGTTTCCCCTTCTCATTGTTCTTTCCTTATTTGTCATTACCGGACTCTTCCGTGATACCGTGACCAGCTGTATAGTTAGCTAGACAGTGAGGAGTAGTGGAATCCACACCCAGTTAACAAGCCTGTGCATGCGACCACTCCAACCCTCCCCCTCTCTTCTGTCTCGAGTCTAGTGGTGATAGACCCGTTACACCGCACACGTAGCCAAGGATGGAAGTACCACGGAACAAGGATTCCTCAGGAACTAATGCAAAATTCAAAGTCGTGTTTATAATAGGAAATATAGATGTCCACCAAACGGACCCAATGAGAGTAATTACAGGGGAAACTACTCATAAACAACGGAGATATGACTAAAACTCCTGCAAAAACGAGGACAATGCCTAAAAGGGAAGCGCGAAGATTAACCAGTAACGACCGAGACAAGCTTGATAGCCCATTAGAAAGGAAGGGATCCAATCTTACTCCTCCCAAATTTTCATAATAAAAGGATCATGTGTTAATGAGATATCCAATAACGGGATTAGTGACATCAAAAGTCCAAGCTTAGGGAAAAGACGATGTTTGCGTAGGATCCATAATTAAAACATACAACGAAATTTACACGGAAATTATTAAAAATGGGGAACTATAGTTATGCAAATTTTCAGCCCAAACAGTCCAGCCGTTGTGAAGTTATACCCATGACGGGAATATAGAAATCTGCATCATGTGTAATGACATGTGAGGGTGGCGATGCACAGGGAACCGGCCGTCGGAACCGAGATCCGCACTTTGGCAGATCGCGAAGACCAATTTCCGTCCAAATAAGGAAGAGCCCGGTCAAAACAAAGCACAGAAAGTGCAAAACAACCTTAGATCATGAGGGAAAAATCTGAAATAAATCACAGAAGCCCATATGAAAGAAATAAACACCCACACATATAATAAATCCCGAACAATTAAACGGAAACGGCGCCCGCATATGAACGACTATGGGAATGATGCACATGATTACCGAATGTGTGCACGAACTTTTGCTAACTCAACAAATACCAGGAAATAGGACACAACCTTAGTACCATTGGAAAGGTGGGAATAAATGAAAATTTATGATACCAAGAACGTGAGAAAACATCCAGAAATGAATGAGATATAGGGACATGAAGTTAGAAACCTGAAAACGCGCGGGAAAACAGCTTCAAGAGGTCCAGAGTCCTAAATAAAATACATAAAAATATGAAATCTTCAAGGACGACCTACTATAACAACGAACAATACATATGGAGGATTAGGATGTGATAATACAAAGGGGAATCAGGGAATATGAACGAAATTCACGAAAACCACTAAACTACGACGGACCATGGCGGGAATTTTAGGGAACGATATTCTAATGAAGTGGAGAGCTATAACACATTCGTTTGAGTAATTCTTGACTACTAGCAACTTTTTCTTTCAGTTCTAAACCTGAATAATTCACTCATTTACCATTTCAGTCTCATTTTAACTAAATGTCACTGAATAAAAATGGAATAAATCAGCTGAAGGTCTCAGCACAGCCGTACGCATAATAATGCAAAGTTTGAATTCAGAATCATCGAGTCATAGCAAATTTAATGGTATATATAGGGAATTTGAAATAGGTAACTGCGGCAAATGCAGCGCAGCCAAGTTCCAATTAACCATTAAAATAGCTTAGGCGAGGGAGGACGATAAGAATTCTAGGTGCAGTCTGACCGCAGTGGAACCGCAGTTCAGCGCAGCACAAGCGCAGTAGAACTATAGCATGAAAATTTCATTTTTTATTCAGTTTGAGAAAAATACACTGTAAATAAATCCTGTAAATAGAAGGTAGAGCGTGAAAAAGGAAGGCGACCCAAGGAGTATAAAAGGGAGACCCTTTCTGCAACTTTTCGCCCCCCCCTAGAGAAGTAAGAAAATAGAGTATTATTTTTCTCAAGCATTTCTGGTTGTCACTCCAGTGCGAAAAAGTGATATACAGTTAAGATTGCCACTGTAGTAAAAGGCAGCAATTAAGGAGAGAAATATTAAGTAGATATTTCAACAGGAGAGCTGGTTGACACTCCAGATTTCAAAGCGTAAACACAAAACAGTTATCTTGCTACTGTTAAAACAAGCAATAAAATAAGACAAAAATAAAATAAACCCAAGGGACACTCCAGACACAATCCAAATTCATTAACTGAATAGAATCTTTGAAACTTCACCAAGTAGAAGATTAAATTTAAATTTAAATCCAAATTAAACAACGCTACACAGAATTACACCTAGACAAATTAATAAATTCCAATAAAGAAACAGCTCCGCAGGGCTCGGTTTATCTGTAAGTCAATTCCCAGGAACTTTAAAACTAACCCATAAAAATAGAATTAGCCAAAACACTCGGATTGGTACTATATTTACAATAAATAACACTAGTACACTTCCCCATCCTAACTAAAGAACCAGGGAACAGCTTGGTGGTGGTCTCGTTTGAACCTCCCAACTGACCTTCCTTCGTTCTCTCCTTCACCATGCGCAAGATATGTGTTGACCTTTCTCCTAATATGAATGTTGGGCATGCAAGTTTTGACTTGGCACTGTAACGGCTCTATCACCTAGACTTGAGACAGAGAAAAGGGGGAGGGTGGTAGTGATTGTGTATGTGGTTGGGAGGTCCGGGTTTTGGTCTTGGGGTGCTACCATGTCTACTAGAGCCTCAACTAAACACTCACGTACGTCTCTCTTGGATGTCAAGGCTGAGGATTATGAGTAGAGGGGTGTTAGATGTTAGCAACAAGCTCAGGGGGGGCATGGGGTCGTGGATGGCATCTTTGCCACTTGGATGTAACTACTTTTTACTCCTTCATGGGTCTATTCATTGCTAACTTGTTATGTACATGTACAAGGTATTTTCTAATGTCCAATTAGAAACAGAGAAACAATAAAAGAAATATGAATGAGGAAATTGTGACAACGGGTCCCAGACGGAAATTGTAAAAGTTAACTCCACAACACCGCCCACCTATCCTCTCGCCAGCAACCTCCTCGTCTCCAGCTTTTCAACGAACCCTCATTTGTCCCAATTGGTGCATAGTTCCTGAGATATGGCCATTGACAGGTGCTGTCAAGACCACGTGAGGCTCTACACCATGCTGAACCATCCACGTATGGGATTTCCACTCTGGGAAATGCTCCGTGGGCAAAGGGGGAAGGTAGATCGTCACCAACGGGTAGAAAAACCGCTGGGTTTAATGTGTGGTTATGGAGGTCTGGGGAGGGGGTGAAATTGGCAGTGTGGTTGGGCGTGGGGAAATTGACTTGGGACTGTCAGGAATGTTGGGAAAAATAAGGAAAGAATAAGGAATGAGTGTATGGAGTGTTGGATAGTAAGGAAACGAGCAATGGAAGCATCCGCGGTTATGTATTGTGCATTGTTGGGTAGAATCCGCAGAATCCGACTTTTTGCCATGCACGGACTTGTCCTCACAACGTTGTCCCTCCCAATCAATGTATATAACACCTTCCCATCGTCTCCATTGGACTCTCCTTGACTCTAGCTTCGTGCTGATATGCCATTCATCCCATTTGGCTTGGCGGATCTTGAGATAGGCACGTGTCATTCGACATGGTGTTGAGTGTCCTCATATCTCTGTCAATACTGCACCGTTTGGTATGAAACTCGGCAGAAAAATAAGCCTAATTCTCCTCTTTCGATCTTATATTTTGCCACCAAAACGCACACATGGATGTCAGGATTTTCAGGCAGAAAGGTGGGGTGAGTGTGGACATGGGAATCGTCCACTCCCCATGTTTGCAAGCAACCAAAACTCGTTGTATACTGAGCACCTTGTTGTGAATGAAATCTTGATAGGTGGGTTGGATGCACGGACTGAATCTCCCTGGGGCTCCTCACCTTCACAAACATTTTCGACTATTTAGCCGAGTTTTGGGACCCCACTACGATCCAGCTGGCCCCTGTCTTGCTTCCCTGGGGCCCCAAGGCCAGAGTGGCTCTCCCACTCTCTGATCATGAAAAATGAAATTGAAACTGGCAAAATTATAACAAATAATATAACAAATAATGATAATGATAAGACAAGGCTTCGTGCTACAGGGTCGGTGACACCCATTCCCTCCTCCTAATCAAAGATCCATCCCACATAGCCTTATCATCGATCAAAGGATTGAGAATGATTATGGGATGCCTTTGACCTGCCATATCTGCAGGGAAGGTCTCTGCACTTTTGGCGTTGGATGTTGTGTACCACATTCGTGAAAGGTCAGAATAGGGTGCCCAAACAAGTTTGGAGTACACATTCTTCCAGACCTTCTCCCTAATACGATTGCCACCAGTATAGTCGAATCTCTGGATGAATTCCCACCAGGCAGCATGAAACGAATGCCACTTCCAACCCCTAGCACCATTTTTGTACTCTATCAACCCTTGCTCTCTCTCATCCCCATATCTCATGGGTTGGCCTCCTCTCCTCTCCCTATTGTATGTCCCCTTCATCCTTGCTTCTTCCCATTTCAGGTCAGCTGGTGGGAAAGAGAGCTGGAACGCTACATGGAACTCTGGGGGGTTGCGCTTCCTGATGTGAGCTCCGGTGAATCCACTGCAGAAAAGATCAGGTTCTTTAAAGTACCCTATACCAGGGTGTGCAACTGGACTGTCTGGATTACAGACAGTATGGTAGAACAGCTCTGGGGATTGCATCTGGGGGACAGGGATGGTCTGCAGCACGTTGGAAAAGTAAAAGTTGAGGATCTGTTGGATATTCTTGGTCAATACCAGGTTCGTGGTCCCTTGAACGAGCTGAGGGACCCCGTCACTGTTATCCGAGTTGGGGAAAGAATCCTTCAGGTGCTTGGTAGCTGTGAGGTCTTAGGGTTGCTCAGCACACAAGGCTGTAAGTGATACAAGATGGTGTATTTTACGGTGGTGTGTAAGCGGTTACCCGGAGGTTCCTGCTTGTCCACGTGACTATATGTATCTAGTTTACATGTGACTCGGGGTTCGGGGCTATTGCCCTGACATTCTCCCCCCTTGCGTTGCATTTGCGACGCATACAAGGTTGATAGTGAATAGAAACAGAGTTTTAATAGTTGATTTACATTGAGTTTGGAATTATCAATGAGTGTTTCTGTTGTCGCCACTTTAAAGTGGGCGATTTTGTACATGTTGGCGAAAGGAAGAGAGGGGGTTTAAGAAGTGAATGAATGTGGGCCGTTACTTTGAAGTGAACGGCGATACATTGGTATCGCAGGGAGAGAAGAAAGAAGTGGTGGAGTTTGTTGAAAATGGATTTCGACCCAAAGGTTGTATGTCTTTGGTGTTCCTCACTTGTTCTGTGAGGGTTCGTGTGTAAGTGGTGTTTACACACGAGCGGTGGTGGGTGTGGGTCTTTTGACGGAGTGGAGATTTCCGCAATTGTTACTTGCGGTTCCTCGCATACAGTATTGTGTGCGGGGCCTCGAGTTGGGGGGAGGTGTTTTCACGGGCGCCTCGGTGGCGTATTACCGTGTCACTCTCCCTTCTCTCAAGGGTGGATTCATTGCCCCGGAGGAGGGTTTTCCTCCAGGTTGTTCATCTGGACATCCGATTGCTGCGTCGGATGCGATGACATAGCCTGGGCTACATTGTCAGGCTGTGGGCTCGACGAAGTGGGTGCTCCCTGGGTGGGAGCGGGTTGTTGTGTTCCTGAGCTGCTTGGCTCAGGTGTAGAGTACGGTAGGTTTACCGTTCTTCCCATGGGGAAGGATGGTCGTTGGGCTGGTTGTCCAGCTTGGAGGCTTGCGTCTCTTTCCCGGTATTTGGAAGCTTTCGCTTCCCATTCCACAGTTCTTGCGGCACGTTCCTCAGGAGTCCTGAGTGGTTTGAACTGGGATTTTAAATAGGCGGCTTTGCCTAGACTTTCCCAGGAGATTTTTCCCTTATTCTCCAGGGAATTATACTCCTCCGTGAGTCTTGCAATACTCGGGAGTCCCAAGAAGTATTTCTTGGTTTCCTTTGCTTTATCGTGAAGGGTTCTGTGTACCTTGCCGCTTTTGAAGGCGGCTTCGGCCTGTTCGTACCAGTGTACGAATTCTTTCCCACTCACGCTTGTCCACCAAGCGTATGCGGTGTCATGCGCCGCTTCTGACCCCACTATTCTCCTCATGGGGAAGTTGGGGTCAAATGTTATGTCGACTGGAGCTTCGACTTTGCTGAACTCGTTGAGTTCAGCGGTCTTGTATAGCATGTGGACACTTCCCTGCAGGGTAGCTTGCCCATAGGGTGCTGAGGTACTCAGCGGCCCACTGCCTCTGGCAGTGATCCCCGTTTTAGGGTCTGCCGTTGGTTGCCTACCGCTCTCCCTCTTCCCCTCCACATGGGTTTGCCCTTCTGAGGGCAGGCCCTTATGCAACCCGGACAGGGTCGCCTGCCCATGGGGTGGTGGGATAGTCGGTGCCCCACCCCTTGATGCGCTAGTCCCCATTTGAGGTCGTGCCTCATGAGGCCCGGAACCGTATCCCCTCCCCCTGACCTGGGAGGCCCCCGTCATGATGGGTTTGGCAGCGAGGTCTGCCAGTGCACGTGCCTCTCTGAGCTCGCGTTTCAGTAATTCGATCTCCCTTTTTTGGAGATCGACTTCTCTCTCTGCGTCTTTCAGAGAGTCAAAGATGCCCTCAGCATCTCTTCGTGCTCTGTTGTATTCACGCTTCCAGTGGGCGCAATGGTCGCAGGCATCTTCTGATGCCCTCGAGTTATCAGACCGTGTCCGCTTGGACGGTCTGGACGAGGAGCCGCTGTCGCTCCCTCATCTCCCTCCTACAAGGGACTTCATTTCTTTCAGCTCTTCACGGAGCTGACCTGTCTGAGCAGCTACCGCTGACGCGATGGCTGATTCCCAGCCTGCATTTGGCTGGGGCGTTGTTGGACCTGGGCCGAATTGGCTAATCCAGGGGTTGATCTGGCCAGGGAAGTTCCCTGGGGAGTATGCCTGGGGCTGCAGCAGCAAATGCTGCCCCTGGAATGGCGCTTGTTGCGCCATCGGTGCAGTTTGCACCGTGTATGGTTGGAAGCCTCTTTGGGGAGGCTGGAGGTATGCAGTGCCTGTTGGCAACGTGGATGGTTGATGGTTCGCAGCACTCATTTGTGCTGCGTGTGTCGTGTAATCCATGGCGCTTATCTGCGCCTGGTGTTGTTGTTGTTCCGGGGAGCCTTGCTCCCTGGGTTGTCGTATTTCGATATCCGGCGGTTTGTTTGGATCGAACCGAGGGTTGCCTCCCCCAGAGAACGACATTTCGTCGTTATGTTACTCGTGGCGGTGGGAGGGGTCTTCGTTCTTGTGTGCGTGGGATTCGCCGCAGTTGTGTATTCTTTTGCACGTGAGCCTGTGGTTCACGTGGTCTAGGCGAGTTGCTTGCCTAGCCCATGTGATTTCTAGTACATGGTGTGGCTGTCCGGGCGAGTTACTTGCCCAGAACTTTCCCACGCTCTTGGCTGTGGGCCATCGTCCCTCGGCTTTACTTCTTCTGCCTCCGTTTTTGGGGGCGTAGTAATGCCGAGAGTTCCCTGTCTTCTTTGATAGGGAGTTTTTCTGGTTCCCTTACATTTTGTAAGGTGAGGTACTCGTCCAGGTGGACAAGGTCGTTGCAATTTCCTAGGGGTTCCCATGTGGTGTCCCCTAGTTCCCATTTAACCTTAAACCAGAGTTCGTTGTGAACCCACGCATGGTTTAGGATTTTGCGAACTACTGCTTCGCGATCAGGGTCTTCCCCAAAATCGTAGAATATGTTTACTTCCCTATTTGGGAAGATTTCCTGGTCGTTCGGCTCGTGAGGTGCGAGCCGGGATACATGGAATCTTGGGTGGATTCCGTGTTGTTCAAGTTGTGGTGGCAACTTGAGGACGTAGTTGGACGTTTCTGGAAATGTTTCCAGAATTTCATAAGGCCCTATGTATAGGGGCTTTAGTTTTCCTGCCCTGCCTTTGGGTAGGTTCAGCTTATCCGTGGATAAGTATGCGAGCTCGCCTTTTTTCAAAGGCAGGTCCGGGCGTCTTTTCTTATTCGCCTGGATTGTTTGAGCAGCGCGATTATGTATTATCGCATCGTGTGCTGCCATGAGGTTTTCCTTCGCTTTTTGAGCGAAGTCATTTACTCCCGGGTAGTCCGAGAGTGGTGCTGTTAGGCACATCTTTGGCATATGGCCGTAGATTAATTCGAACGGGGCAAATCCTGTCGATGTGTTCGAGCTCGCATTGATCGCAAATTCCGCCATCGACAGTTTCGCTGCCCAGTCGCGTTGGTCTGGTCTAACCATCGCGCGTAGTATTTGTACTACTTTTTGTATCATTCTTTCCGCTTGGCCGTCGCCTTGCGGGTGGAATGCAGTTGTGAATTTCAACTGTACGCCGAGTATTTGGTGTAGTTCGCGCCAAAATTTTGACGTGAATTTCGAGTCTCGATCTGATATGATCGAGTGTGGTAGACCATGGAGTCTTACAACTTCACGAAGAAATACGAATGCTAGTTCTAGTGCATTCGTTGTTGTTTTTATTGGAATTAGGTGGACGTTGGACATCAACCTACAGATGATTACCCAGAGGTAATCATATCCCAAGCTTGTTGGGAATGGACCTGTGAAGTCCATGGCTATTGATGACCATGGTGTCTCAGGGGTCGGGAGTGGGTGAAGCATTCCGGGATTTCTCCTGGTGCTTTTCTTGGTTGTTTGGCAAGTTCCGCAAGACCTGCAGAACTTGTGGGTATCTTTTCTCATCGACTTCCACCAGAAGTGTCGACGGAGGGTTTCCACTGTTTTCTTGGATCCTAGATGTCCAAGTGTTTCGTGGATGCTCTCGAGGATTATTCCCCGAATGGACTTCCTTTCGTAGTTTCCTTTGGGACTACTATCTGGGTCGTTCCTCCTTCTCCAAGTCGGGTTATCAGCCCGTCTTTTACGGAGAAGTTTTTGAAATTCCCCGGGTTCTCTAGGATTTCCCGGTGGATCTGGCTTTTCAAGTATCCAGATTTTATTGCCTCAATGAGGTCTTTTTCTTCGAATTGTTTTCGAAGGTTCTTTTCTGGAGTTATGATTTCTTCCAGATTTTGGGCGCTCCCCCCTAGAGTTTCCTCTAGGTTATCGCTCCCCCCTAGAGCTTCCTCTAGGGTGTTTTTCGTGTGTATCGCTGCGAGTCTCTTTTTCTCTGAGTTTTTACTCAGGGTACTGCTTAGTAGCAGTTCTTCGTATTCCTCGATTCTGTCGGGAATGATATCTTCTGCATTTTTGTCCAGGTGGATGTCCGCCAACACGTAATCATCGAAATGCAGATCCTCGTCCGTTGACGAGTTGTAGTATCGTGAGAGTGCATCTGCCACTTTATTTTTGTGGCCTTCCACGTATTTTATTTCGCAATTGAAGCTTGCGAAAAAGGCTTGCCATCTCAGGTGTCTTCCTGAGTTGTGGTTTTTCGCTTTGAAATATTCCAAAGCTTTGTGGTCCGTGATTACTGTGAATTCACGGCCTCCCATGAGGTCGTCTTGCCATCTCATGAGCGCTTCGAGGACACCCAGTGCCTCGAGCTTGTAGGCGAAGTACCTACGTTGTGTGTTGGTGAACTTTTTGGACATAAATGCGGCCGGGCGGCAAGTCTGCCACCTTTCGCCTTGTCCAATTAATGCACCCATGCCCGCTGGGCATGCGTCTGTTATGACCCAGACGTGGAGTTTG